TCAATGTATCAGAGAAATTCCATTTTAACATGTGACCAAAATGTAAAATTCAGTATTTAACTCTCAAATTACTTTTGGAAATTATTTTGAAAATTAATCACACATATGTAAATTCATATTATTGTTCTCAACAAGAACAATATTATTAAGAATTGCAAAAAAGGATAATCTATAAACAGTTTTGATTTTTTTTCTTAGGCTAACAGAAGTCTCTAAACGTTAAATGATAAATTGTAATATTATGTAAAATATGGAAATTTTTTCTCTCGTTTAAGGAAATGTGTGTCCTGAGTGGAACATATTACCAAATGGATCGTATGTGGTTCAGGGAGGAAGAGGAAATTGTTCAGGATGTCCTCCCTTTTATCATCTTTCCCAATTACTAAATAGAGAATGCAAGTACATGTAGTTGAAAATCTACTGTAAACGTATTACGTTTGGCGGTGTATTCTTTTTAGCGTTTTTGGCGGAAAGAAACTTCCGCTAATTCAAGTACAATGCCAAATGTCTTACACATATATACATTAATAAGAAAATAAAGAAATGCGCTGAATCAAATCTAACTTGTTCAAAAATCAATTTCCGGCAAATATCGTACACGCTAAATATAATACATTTACAGTATATAGTGTATACAAAATTTATGCACCGGTTATGAAAGATTTGTGACATAAAATTGTTTGATTTGTCCATGTTGTCTGTATTTTTATGCGCCCGGATCGATAGATCTGGGGCGTATATTGTTTTTGTCCTGGCTGTTTGTCTGTTTGTCTGTTGTCAACTTTAACCTTCGCAAAAACTTTTGAACCATAAGAGATAGAGACTTTATATTTGATATGCATACTCCACTAATAAAGTTCTTTCAAATGACATCAAGGTCAATGACCTTGTGAACTTGACTGTGACCTATATGCTAAAAATAGCTTTTCAACTGTTTGTTATAACTTTTGAACCATAAGAGATAGGGACTTCATATTTAGTATGCATACTCCACTAAGAAAGTTTTTTCAAATGACATCAAGGTTAATGACCTTGTGACCTAGACTGTGACCTATATGCTAAAAAATATTTTTCCACTTTTTGCCATAACTTTTGAATCATAGGAGATAGGGACTTCATATTTAGTATGCATACTCCACTAATCACTTTCAAACAATACCTTGACTGTGACCTATATACATGTACTAAAAATAGCTTTTTCGAACTTTTTTTTTTTTTAATTCATAGAATTTTTTATTTTTTGCTTTCACATTTACAGACTATGTACAATATATTTCTTTACATTCAATACATACATATACTATATAATTTTTCTTCCATATAATTTATCTTATATTCTTTATACAAATTCTCTTTGGTATATGCTAAATACAAATTCATTTCATAAAGCTGCATAAGATATATGACATTCACGTATATTATGAATCCTCATTGTGAAAGCTTTATATACAAAAAAGTAAAAAAAAGGGGAGGGGTGAGGAAGGAAAACAAAGTGAGGTGGGGGAACAGTTTTCACTATTTTACCATATTGGTACATTTGAGTATAAATTTGAAGAACATTATAGCATATCACAAATAATTTTCCAGTTCTTTTCATATTCTGAAAATTTACAATTTCTTAAAAGAATAGCCTTTTCAACCAGTATTCTATCTACAATTATTTTTTCTAGCATTACTATAGTTAATTTAGGCATATTTTTAAACCTACTGGCAAAAATGAATTGTTTAACAGTAAGTATTATTATATTGTGTAATCTATACATGTTTTTATTGTTGTATTTTCCAAACAATATATCTTTTCTATCAAAATTAATAGTAAAATGGAAGTTTTTTATAAACCACTCCTCTATATGACACCATATTCTTTTAACACAGAAACATTCAAAAAATAAATGTTCAATTGTTTCAACTTCTTGTTTACAAAATGAGCAAACAGGTGAATCAATTAGTTTAAGTTTATAAAGGTATTTATTTGTTGCAATAATCCTGTGCAGGATTTGAAATTGCATCCACTGATCAAATTTTGCCTCTTTTGTAACTTTAAATGGTAGTTCAAATATTTTGTTCCATTCTAACTCACCAAAAGATATTCCATTATTTTCCCATTTTTCTAATGCTTTAATTGTTTGCTTTTTTAGCTCACCTTAGCCGAAGGCTCAAGTGAGCTTTTCTGATCACATTTTGTCCGGCGTCCGTCTGTCTGTCTAGCTGTCCGTCTGTCTGTCTGTCCGTCTGTAAACTTTTCACATTTTCGACTTCTTCTCAAGAACCGCTGGGCCAATTTCAATCAAACTTGGCACAAAGTATCCTTGGGTAAAGGGGATTCAAGTTTGTTCAAATGAAGGGCCACACCCTTTTCCAAGGGGAGATAATTATGAATTAGAGAAAAATTAATGACATTTTTAAAAAATCTTCTTCTTAAGAACCACTGAGCCAGGAAAGATGGAACTCATGTGGAATCATCCTCAGGTAGTGTAGATTCAAGTTTGTTCAAATCATGACCCCTAGGGCTAGGGTGGGGCCAAAATGGCCGACCCAAGTTTTACATAGGAATATATGGGAAAAATCTTTAAAAATCTTCTTCTCAAGAACCACTGGGCCAGGAAAGATGAAACTCATGTGGAATCATCCTCAGGTAATGTAGACTCAAATTTGTTCAAATCATGACCCCCGGGGCTAGGGTGGGGCCAAAATGGCCGACCCAAGTTTTACATAGGAATATATAGGAAAAATCTTTAAAAATCTTCTTCTCAAGAACCACTGGGCCAGGAAAGGTGAAACTCATGTGGAATCATCCTCAGGTAGAGTAGATTCAAGTTTGTTCAAATCATGACCCCTTGGGCTAGGATGGGGCCAAAATGGCCGACCCAAGTTTTACATAATAATATATAGGAAAAATCTTTAAAAATCTTCTTCTCAAGAACCACTGGGCCAGGAAAGATGAAACTCATGTGGAATCATCCTCAGGTGGTGTAGATTCAAGTTTATACAAAACATGACCCCCGGGGCTAGGGTGGGGCAAAATTGGCCGACCCAAGTTTTACATAATAATATTAGGAAAAATCTTTAAAAATCTTCTTCTCAAGAACCACTGGACTAGGAAAGATGAAACTCATGTGGAATCATCCTCAGGTAATGTAGACTCAAGTTTGTTCAAATCATGACCCCTAGGGCTAGGGTGGGGCCAAAATGGCCGACCCAAGTTTTACATAATAATATATAGGAAAAATCTTTAAAAATCTTCTTCTCAGAACCACTGGGCCAGGAAAGGTGAAACTCATGTGGAATCATCCTCAGGTAATGTAGACTCAAGTTTGTTCAAATCATGACCCCTAGGGCTAGGGTGGGGCCAAAATGGCCGACCCAAGTTTTACATAATAATATATAGGAAAAATCTTTAAAAATCTTCTTCTCAACAACCACTGCGCCAGGAAAGGTGAAACTCGTGGAATCATCCTCAGGTAGTGTAGATTCTAATTTGTTCAAATCATGACCCCAGACTTAGGGTGGGGTCAAAATGGCCGACCCAAATTTTACATAGGGAAATACAGGGAAATCTTTTAAAATCTTCTTTTCAAGTACTTCAAAGCTATGACTAGTGATATATGGAATCATCCTCAGGTAGTGTAGATTCTAGTTTGTTCAAATGATGAATGCCTGGGGGGGGGGTGTTAAATTCAAGCCCGATGTGCTCAGGTGAGCGCTGTGGCCCCTGGGCCTCTTGTCTTCTTGATGAGTATATTGTACATATCTTTACAACCATTTGTGCTTTTATATAAAATGTAAATTGAATTTGGGATAAAAGGTCCACTTTCTTCTCTTTTTTCAAGATCAATACGTTTCAATATCTTTGTAACGGCTATTTTTAAACCGGTATATTCTACAAAATTAGTTTGTACATTCAGATTATTGAGGTACTCGAGGCTTATAAATTTTCCTTCAACGTCAAACAAATCTCTTATGAAAACAAAGCCTGCATCAAAATAACTTTTTAAAAATACAGAGGAATTATTTATTTTATTTCTTGGATTAAACCATATATGTTCATGAAGAATTTGAGCATTATATGTTTTTTGACTACCACTGCAATCAATGATTTTTACCCAATTAAGTAAAACCTCTTTCCAAAATTTGTTGCCTATTTTAATACACATCTTAACTATAAAATCTAAACCTCTTACCCAAAGAGATTCAATTTTCATTCCTAATTCTGATTCAAAAAGTTTTAACCATTTCGTGTCTGAGTAGTAGCTTTTTCGAACTTTGTTGAGGCTGGACGCATAGTGTTTCACAAACACATCTTGTTTTTTTAGCAAAAATTCTGCACTTTAAAAAACATCTTTAAAAATATGTCATGCCTTTTTAAAATTTTCTACATCCACCCCCCACAGTAGAGATAAAAAGCGAGGGTTTCTGAATATACAGGATGATCGCAAAACATGATACATGATAAAACCTGATGAACGATCTACTCAATAAACGCAAAACAAGATAAACAGAAAACATGAAAGAAAACACAAAACCTGATAAAACTGAAAACACAATACAATAGGATACAGGCACGATTAATAGGATACTTGCACGATACAATAGGATACATGCACAATAGGACACTACTATAGACACTTGAAAAGAATAATGATGCGGGTACTCTACTTATTATGACAATTGCGAAAGAGCTCTTCAAAGTCAAATCATGATAATAATTTTTCACCAATGAATGATCAAGAAAATAATGATAAAAGCAAGTAACTGAATTTCATGAGTAATGTTTCTAGCGAAATTACGCGATAATTCCTCATTTATTTAATAATTAGGAATTTATGTATACAGCAGTCCCTTGACTTCAAAATATACTGTAGGTTGGCAAATAATCATGCTGGCTTTAATTTTGCTATGTTCGTGATTTTTAATTTTCTCGCAAAATTAAACCCATCGCGAATGCTATTATGTGTTTTTAAAAAAGTTTAAATGCTTAGCATAAATTTTTAATTAATTAAATGCAGCGTGAAATCAAAGCCATCACAATTGGTACCTTTTAAGATATCGTGGAATTTTAACACTGTGGAAATAAAACGGCTTTCAGTATTGAACAATCAACAGGTAAAAATTGTAGGTCCCTGACACTTTTAAAGCATGTTTGTAACAAACAAATGATCAATTGTAGATAGACTTTTTATTTATTTTTTTTGCAGTTGAGAAATGCTACAACAGTTCTCAAAAGTATTATCCCAGGAGTACAGTGGCACCGACAACAGAGAGTACAGTGGCACCGACAACAGAGAGTACAGTGGCACCGACAACAGAGAGTACAGGGGCACCGACAACAGAGAGTACAGGGGCACCGACAACAAAGAACATGCAAGCACTGTCAACTGGGTAATAAAAAAAATTCAGTACATGCTTATCCTAAATATCAGAGAGGCATAGAATCCAGGAAGGTGTGTTATACATACCGTATAACGGGTATTTTCTGAGGTTGGAAATTTTTGCGATTTAAACCCTAAAAGGTAGCAAATTAATTTCTGCGTTTTCAATTTTTGCGGTTGCACTTTACCGCAAAAAATTATATACGGGGTGTATAGGATCACCAAACTCTAAGATTTATTAGAACGCTGCCATGATTACGTTTTGTAAATTCATTCAGGCACAGGAATGAAACGTGGATGAGAACAGGTATTGTGCTATTAAAGTACTAGCTTTTAGTCACTGTTTATAAAATTATGCCTAGTCCTGAAATTATTTATTGTAGCAACAGAACTTGTCCAGTCAAACAATAATTAAAATCTTCAATCTAACACCGCAGACGTTCATTAATCTGATCTATCAAAATAATATTAATAAGTATATTATAGATAATGATAATTAATACCTCCAAGCCGTAATCTAAAATGCACTTCAAATTAATTGCCATTAAAATTAATTCGAGAGTTTCATTTTATGCTAAAACAAACAGTTGCATAATCAACCACCCCAAAAATCGCACGTGTCACGCGCATTGAGATGTAACTAATACTGCCAGTCGTCTGATTTGAATGAAATTCACGAGGCAATCAAACCATTGTTGCATACACAAGCAGTAATATTAATCACGGAGTCTCAAGACAAAACACAAGATTGATAAGTGGAAAATAAGAAAGAAAGAGAAACTGTACGTCATACTTTGTTTGCAGCTACCGGAGATTCGATGTCACCCGAATTTTCTCGCAAACGAAGACAGGTCCATGAGTGAGTCTGCAGACACACCACTTATCATACTTGCATGTATAAATTACCTGAAGGCATAGTAGAAACATTTTGCAATTGTAATTTTTGCGGATTTGTCCTATCCGCAAAATTCCGCAAAAATTAGAAAACCGCGGAAAATACCCGTTATACGGTAGATCTAGACTTGAACATGTTACTCAACTTATCTATACTTCATTGTGGTTATCAAGCAGTTGTTACATTTCTGACTGTTTTCTCTGTGATAACTCTTTGAAAGTTTAGAGTTAGGCCTAAGTGTGTTGATTTCTTGATATTTACAACTAAATGCAAATTTTGCTAAGTGAAAGGTCAAGTGCCTGATAAACATGTGTAAATCCTTATGGCTGTCTTTGTGTCTGACTTAGTGGGCAGAACTATGGAAATCAACATGTGGAATACTTAATGAATGGAACAATTTTATGCCGAAATTATAATGCATTGCCAAGAATTAAACTTCAAATAGTAGATTGTCAAATAAAAAAAGATTAGAATATTTAATCAGCTTTAAATTGTGATGATTTTTAGATGAATATTTAATTAGAAGAGTCAGCTTAGTTAAAAATATCATTAAATATAGAACATTTTAGGATTAGCTCCTCTCAAAAATTGATTAGGCTGGTTCAGTGATTGTTTAGCAAGATTTTTTACTTATCTGTCCTTATAAATTCTACAATGATTGATCTTACATTGTATTCAATAGCACATTTACCCCCATCCAATAGACATTTCCATCGCGAAAGAATTCCGCTAAGTAAGTAATCACAATATCAAGTATTAGCATGATGAGAGTAAATTAATGGTTTTTTACTTTTTAGAAACTAAAAAACGATACATAATTTGGAGGTTGGTTTGTTTGGGTTATAAATTTATATTGAAATTATTGAAGAGTTTCATGTTTCATTTCGTTTTTGTTGATGTTATGTTAGTGGTTATATTCTGTTTTGATTTTTAGCAAACTAATAGTAGAGTGAATTGGAATTTTAAGAATTAATATGTGTGAAGACGCTTGACAATGTACATGTACCAGTGTTCTACATGTAGTAATTGTTGGTGATAAAAGTACTGTTTGTTTGAGACTAGAAGAGACTATAAAATACACAGACTGAATTTTTAAATTATGAGGAGAAAAATGCTTATTGAGTAAAAAATATGCAAGAATTTCTTGGAAATATTATTATAAAATTTTAAAATCATAACATATCTTAGGGTCTGGACTGTTAAGACAAAAAAAAATTAATTTTTTGGTTCTCAGACCCTCCCTCATCTCTTCCAAAGGTGCCTCATTGGCCTTTTTTATTGCTAAATCAATAAAATATAAACACCAAATCACCTCCCTCATCATTTTTTGAGGTTTTGTACTATGTAAAAAGCTGCCTCATCATGTTTTTGGGGCAATAAAAAAGAAAAAAAAATGCCTCCCTCCCTCATCATATTTCTTGAAAAAAGGCCTGAGAACCAAGTAATTAATTTTGCATGGCCTAATTTTAATTACTGGTATATGGGATATTGTTTTGAATCATAATCATACAAGTTGTTAAAAATCAATGGCCAAAAGTAAAAAAAAATGTACTAATTTCTGATCACTCAGTATAACCGAGCAATTAAAGCCTGGCCTTCAGTTCTTTCAATATACTTTGATTTAACTGTGGCAGTGTGGAATTTAACTGGGTCATAGTTCATTATTTGTCATTCATCATGCTTCAACCTTAAGTTTGAACAATTCTAGAACCCTTGAACCAATTTCAACCAGTTTTGGCATATTTTATTTATGGGTGAAGTGGAACAATAATTACATGTATTATCTTCATTTTCCCTGCCTTTCCCATGAAGCTTAGGGGATGAGGCTAAAACTAAAAAAAAAATAAAAAATAAAGCTGTATCTTTCAATGATACTGGTTTATGGCAGGGCGGGACAAATAGCTAAACAGAAGCAGGGCTTGTAGCACATGAATTTGCAGAATCAAGCAATATATGGAATTACTGTCTTATTTTTCGATTTCATGATGTTGATCAATCAATTGGCATGTGTTTATGCAAATTATCATGCAAGCCAATCAATTGATCACATCATGAAATTGAAAATTAAGACAGTTATTCCTTAATTTTACATTTACCAGATAAGTTATTAGATGCTGAAATTTCAGCAAAGATATGAACAAGTTAATTTTTTTGGAGCAGGTTAACATTTATGGTGCAGTTTTTGGTGTAGGTCTTATTGCCAAGTAACTATATAAGCCCTACATTGACCAAACTTGCATGGAAGACACATCTAAGGATGCACTCTACCAGACTTGCTTAGGATGCTAAATCTAATCTACATTTTCTGCATAGTGCATGAGTGAAAAAGTTATTTATGCAGGTCTCATTTCCAAGTAACTAATAAGCCATATGTGGAATAGACTTGCATGGATGAAACATCTAAACATGCACACTTTGTGAAGGCCAGGACTTGCTCAATGAATGAACATGTTAAAGATTTTGAGCAGGTTAACTCTAAAGCAAGTATATGCTCAATGTTTGAGCAAACATGCATGGATGATACATCCAAGGATGCACACTGTCTAATGGACTTGCTTCAGATGCTGAATCCGACATACATTCAGATTATGGACCAGGTAAAAGTTATGGGTACAGGCCTATCACCAAGAAACTATAAGGCCTATATCAACCAAACTTGCATAAACCGTGCATGAAGGGATGAGCAATCCCAAACTTGCTTCATATGCTTGATTTGAATTACATTGTCTGGATGGACTACAAGTTTAAAGTTTTTTGACTACAAGTTTAAAGTTTTTTGATAGGTCTATTCCCAAGTTACTACAAACCCTATCAGATCAAATTTGAATAAATTTTGCATCTGTGATGTACACTTTTAGAATGATAGTTAATGTGGGACTTTGTCTAATTTAAGGACAACATTCTTTGAGGCGAGCTCTGTAATCTTATCTCGGATAACCTAATGTTTCCTAGTGTAAGAAAAAGCATTTTCCTTTCAAATTCAAAAGTAATTTAATAGTTTTTAATGATATTTAAGATAGATGTGTAATTAAAAAAAATGAAAATGAGATAAAAAAATATCTAAGCTTATAATTAAACAAATGTCATTCAAAGAACAAGAGATACCTGTGTTGTTAGAATGTGCAGGTTTTCAGTACACCAATATTATTGTTAATGTTTTGGTAGAGTGTAATTAGCACTGACATATATACAGGCAATGGATTGACTTTCTACCAGTGTTTTTTTTTTTACTGAGTTACAGACTTACTTTATAATTGCATGAATCTGTAAATGTCCCCTTCCTCTTTTTTTTTTTTTACATAAAACATCTATCAATTTTTCTTGGATTAAAATATAAATACCAAGGTTGCCAGTGCATGGACCCTTTGCAGGGTGACTGTTCAGGCTCTTGGCCTCTTGGTTAATTTAAAGATCTTCTTTGCTCTCTTTACAGAGGTATTGTTGGAATAGCCTTGGGTCTGTTGGCAGTAATTGGAGCTTTTTCTATAGCAGCTGGGATCTGCATTAGGAAGAAGAGACAGGTGTATAAAAACCCAGTAAGTAACTTTAAAGTCCCAGAGTCACACAGATGAAGAATTGTAATCAGTACAATATCATGTATTTGATCATCTGTTTGGCAACATCTGTAAACTTTGAAACATGACTGAGGATCACTGGAAGAAATAATACAGTCTCCTAGTAAACATCTGTTTCTCGGCAATAAACCTACATGTATCAGTTGATTTTATACTGATAATGGATCCTGTAAATAATTGTATGATACTCAGGTGACCATTAAAGCCCTTGGGCCTCTTGTTTCATGTAAAATTTTAATCTTCAATTGTGGCCTCAACCTTAAATACCCAAGTTCTCATTTTGCAAGGGACTTATGTTGTGACTTAGACTAAAATTTATCCTGCAAATAGTTTCCTCTCTTAGATTAAATTAAAATTAAGAATACTTTTAATTCTTTTGAGACAAATTAATAAAGATATTATCAAGAAAAGAAAAAGAAGAATTTTGCAATATTTCACAATAAACAAATAAAGTTAGCTTTCAAATTTTGCATGGTCATATGTCCTTTTGAAAATGTGCCCCAGGATTGCAATTTAAATGAACTTGAATTAGCACTACCTGGATATTTGTAATCATATGCTAACATTTTTAATGTGGATTTTATACCCCCTGCAAATAAAGTTCTTTTCAGCTGAGAAATGATTGCTATATTGTCCGCTAACAATAAAATACAGAACTTGCCAGAATTTTCTACATATTTATGCAATGATTGCAGTCTATTATTTTAAGGTACAAGTGAACAATTATCTCAGTGTGATGATATGCCTTACAAGTAATAGTGACATATTTTTCTCCTTTATTTCACAGCCTACACCAGATGGAGAAGGAGGAATTAGAATGACAGAACCATTACAGATTGGACTAAATGGTTCTACAGTGAATGGAGAGGATATAGGTTTAGGGTAGATCAATCTTAAAGCAACAAATATATTGAACCTCGGAATTGTCGAATATTGTACTCCTTAGAGGGTACATTCATTGTTTTGACTAAAAAGCTATCAAAATTGCACGATGTACATGTTATGTAAAGCGTTTTAGGATTTTTTCATTGCCTCGATGAAATAATTTTTTGTTATTAACAAACATAAATTTAAAGTCATTGATACAAGTTTAAAAAATTTGCTATACAATTTGTATTAATGGTGGTTATTAGTTTTCAATTTGTTTTTTATTTCTCATCAGATATATTCATTGAATTGTGATATTATAAGACATTGTTGCATGAATTACTTCCAAAGATGGGTGTGCATACATTATAGACTCAAAACGTATTTATTTCCTGAATATGAATTACAGGGTTTAAAATAATTTAATAGTTTAAAATAATAAATTGGAAGCTTGAAAAGTTAATGAATTGTTTTTTAATACATTAATTACAGATTAATTGCAAATGTTATGACAATTTTTTTTCTGTAATTCATATAATTGTATAATTTGATAAAACATCAGCTGATCCAATGATATCAGCACAAAGAATTTGTATGTCCTATTTGTAGCATTCAGACATTCATGACAAGTCATTTTTGAAATGTGTATATATGTCAGTTTTGTGATTATATCATCCTATTTTTTAGATCTTTGAATTAAATAAGTAAACTCTGTTTGATCAAATCTAAATTAATTAAAATATAAAGAATTGTACCATGCCTAGTATCTGTATTTTTTTATTTTAAAATTTTACTTTGGATTCTTATTGGGAGAATTGTTTTTGAAATTCTAAAATGATATTTTTGTGGATAATTAGATGCTTTGCAGCAAGTTAACTTGTTGCTTTTGCTTAAATTTTTATTTTTTGATTTTATAAATGTCTGATGGTAGTGGTTTTTTCTTTGCTGGCAGTCTTAACATGTATTTTAAATATGGAATTTATATTAAACAGATTTTTTTCTTTCTTTCAGTGCTTGTTTTCTTTCATTTTTGAAGTTCATGTTAATTTACATGCATATATACAAGGGATTATCAAAACTCTTGCAAAATAATTGAATTGCTTCCAAGAGAGAAAATTTGGCTTCAATTATTATTTTTGTTTTTTAATAGTCTCCTCGGGTTTACCAGTAATGCACCTCCTGCCCATGCACAAATTGTGTTGGTCTTGGCAATCACGAGACATGCTCTGTAGCATTGTCATGAGTTCTTTTTGGATTTTGTAGAGTTGAGAAGGAAAACAATATCAATCAGAAATAACTAATAAGTTTATTAACACAAATAAAAAAAACAAACAAATTATATTCAATAACACTCACTCACTCTCACATACCAGCTCACACACCGGAATTGAAATAGATTTGAACTGTTAACTCAGTTTTAACCAAATCTGATACTTGACATAATAACGTTAAAGCTGAACACTACTCGTAAATAGGCATTGTCCGCCATATTTCCCGTTCTTCAACGCTCTCCCTACAACTCGTATATAAGGAGCAGATCGCTAGTCAGTTCAATATATTTCACTATAGAGATCCGACGAGTGTAGACGTATATCTTACAAAGCGTGCTACTCAATATCGATGAAATTATCAAATTTTACGCATTTTTTCCGAAACAGGACAAAAGTATCATGGAAAATACAGGTCAATACATTATTTACAAACAGAAAATGCACATAAAAACAAGAGATAAACGTAAAAAATCTAAGACCACGATAAGAGTACTACATGTAGGCCACAAGTTTCGAGTGTGCAATCGGGTGTAACGAAAGCGAACGGTTTATATACCCGTCTGACAGTGCCTATTTATGAGAAGTGTTCAGCTTTAATATTGTAAGCAACAAAGTTGATTCAATTAGTATCAGATCTTAATTCAAATAATAATTCACCGAATATTGTCTTTTCAAAATAAATATTTAGAAAAAGCTCAATTGAATTTCAATAAGGATAAAATATGAATTCAAATGAAAACGTGTTCTTATATATAACCCTGAAAGTTACTCAAAGTTCACCAAATTCACAAATTGATGTCAGCGACACATGTTCTACAAAATGCACCACTGCGCTCACGCCGTACAAGTACGCCTACGTCACACCAAGTTCAGTGGTCCACAAAATGGTAGTTCCTAAACCGCAGACCTCCGGGTCTTAGCCTCACGCTACGGCTATCCTACCACGCCCTCAACAATGTCGACCTTTTGATATGACGCACGTGGCCCTCCATACAACACTCGTCAATAAACCTCAAACCTCGTCAACCGACCCTCAGTACGCCCATAGATCACTTACTCGTCTCCAAGCTCCTTACGCACTGAAATTAATTTATATTTACAAAAACCTAACCTAAATTACAACTGAGACCGGAAATTTATAAAAGTATACCAACTATAAACATTACTCGAACACTCTTACTGGCTAGAACTACACAAACACGCTGTAATAATCCTCCTGGCAGGTTATATGGCTACCCGTTGATATTCGGTGCTATATCTCACCGAAAAATATTCGCCATTTGTATAAGTCATACCGGGGAAAATGCAAACGTGGCACAACTCCGACTGGTCACGCTACCGGACACCAGACTAGCTCTCACCAAACTGACAAAACCGGACCCTTATATACAAGTGACCAAACAGTCTCAAAAGTATGGAAACCCGTTAGAACAAAATTAAAGTAATATACAGAAAATAAAGCAACCTTTTCACATACACCCCCATTTATTTGCCAATATTAACAATATTGTAAAAAAATCTAAATCAAATTGACCATCAACTAACAAGCCCTTGATAGAAAGTCGACTAATTTGTTGTCTTTCCCCGGAATATGCCTCACTGTATACTTGTACTCTTGTAAGACCAAGCTCCAACGGAGAAGTCTGGGATTTTGGGACTTCATCGTCTAAAGCCACTGCAACGCTCTGTGATCCGATTCTATGATGAAATGCTTACCAAACAAGTAGTTTCGCAGACGCTGCACCGCCCATACAATCGCATAACATTCTTTTTCCACAACGGCGAAATGCTGCTCCCTGGGAAGTTGTTTTTTACTGAGGTAAACGATCGGATGGTACTCTGTATCCTTCTCTTGCAATAAGACCGCCCCAGTCCCCTGTTGCTTGCGTCAATTTGTAAAACAAACACCAATGTTAAGTCTGGATTCCAGAGTACAGGTGCACTTACCAGATTCTTCTTCAACTGCCTAAATGCTTTATCACGTTCCTCTGTCCATTTGACTGTGTTTGGCTGTGTTTTTCTAGTAAGATCAGAGAGTGAAGCAGACAAAGAAGAAAAATTGGGAATAAACTTCCTATAAAAGTTCATAGACCCAAAGAATGATCTCACTTCTTTATTTTTTGTTGGAACAGGGATATCTAAAATAGCCTGTACTTTGTCTGAAGTTGGTCTTACCTGACCGTTTCCGACCTTGTGTCCAAGAAATTCCATTTCTCTACACCCAAACTCACACTTCTTCGGATTGGCTGTTAGTCCTGCGTCCTGAATAGCTTTTAACACTAATCTGATGTGTTCAAGGTGACTAGACCAGTCCTTACTGAAGATAATAATATCGTCAATAAAGGAATCTGAATACTCCTGATGACCTGCTAGTATTTGTCTAACCAACCTGTTAAAAGTGGCTGCCGAATTCATCATTCCAAACGGCATTACAGTGAACTGATAATGACCGAATGGAGTGATGAATGCACTTTTTTCTTTGGCGCAATCTTCTAGTGTAATCTGCCAATAACCCTTGGTCAAATCTATCTTACCAAGATACTTAGCCTCACCTAGTCGATCAATGATATCCTCAATTTGAGCACTAGGTTCTGGATCGAACACCATTACCTGGTTTAATCTCCGATAGTCTACACAAAACCTGATACTCTTGACCTTCTTAGGTATGATAACGACAGGAGATGCATAAGGACTAACTGACTGCTCTACAAAACCTGCTTCTATCATTGCAGACAGTTCCTTCACTTCATCTCTTAACATATGTGGAATCTGATATGGCTTTTGACACACAGGAACATCACTAGTAGTTACCATCTTATGTTTCAGTAAGCTAGTTCTACCTGGTACATTTGTCAACACACTACTAATTTTTTCTAAACAACTCTAACTCACCTGTTTGTTCCTTCGATAGAGTCTGTGCTATCTTCACATCTTTCACCGTATCCCTTACATCCATCAAAAGATTTCCTATCCACTCATTGTCATCTGACATATCTAGCAAACAAACTGCTGTCGCTACTACCTGGTCAGCATCTCTGTCTATCCATCTCTTTAACATATTGACGTGGTAGACCTTTGTGACCCCATTATCGTACTTTATCCTATAATCTACAGGACCTACCTTCTCCGTAATAGTAACAGGTTCCTTCCACTGAGCCAATAACTTTCTCGAACTTGTAGGTAACAAGACCAGTACCTTTTCTCCAACCTCGAAAGACCTATACCTCGCTTTCCGATCAAAGTACCTTTTCTGTTCCTGCTTACTACCTACCTCATTCTCCAACACAATATCTGCCATTTTTGCCAACTTCTCTCTGGTTTCTATAATGAAGCTTAGTAGTGATGGTTGTAACTGATGATCTTCATCACCTTCCTCCTCAATACTTTCTCTAAGAATGGTCAAAGGACCTCTTACAAACTTTCCATACATCAGCTCGAAAGGAGAGAATCCCGTGGACTTCTGTGGAACTTCTCTATACGCAAATAAAAGCGAGCGCCGCTCGCGTAGCGAGCTCAATAGACTTACGTGTACGAACGGAGGAAATTCGGGTTGAAATCTGCACATTGTTCCAAGAAATTTTTATCTCACCGCGTGAAAAAATTCCAAACTCCCAATAATCCTTTGCGGTGCATAGTAACATGGTGGCTAAAACATAGCAACAACTTACTTGAAAAAAATTACAAACAATGATTTAATGTAATCTCCATGTCACAAAACTATCGTTTCGTTCTAAATCAACAGGAATTT